AGCCATCAGCCCAGAGCCCGACGCGGGGCTCAAACTCCCGGACCGCGAGATTGTGACCTGGCTGAAGTTGGACGCTTAACCGACTGCGCCACCCAGGCGCCCCTCGAGTTTCAAAACATTTTATTGCCCCAAGAAGAAACCCTGTACCCATTAACTCGCCTCCCTCAGCCTCTGGCAAGCATTCATCTGCTTTGTCTTTGAGTTGACGCATTCTGGATATGTCCTATAAATGGAATCCTAGAATATGTGACCTTTTGTGTCTGGCTTCTCTCACGTAGCATGTTTTCAAGGCTCATCCATGCTGTACCGTGTGGCTGAATAGTATTCTCTTCTATGGACGTGCCACAATTTTTTTCAATTCATTCACCTGGTGGACATTTGGGTTTTTTCCACCTTTTGATGCCTGTGAATAATGTTGCCGTGACCACGGGTATATAAGCATTTGGGTCCCCATTTTCAGTCCTTTGGTGGAATTGCTGGGTCATAGGCAAATGCTTTTTGACTTTTTTGGGAAACCGTCAAACTGTTTTTCCCCAGGAACTGAACCATTTACATTCCCACCAACAGTGCATAACTTTAAGTTGTTTCACTTCCTTACCAACACGTGCTGTTTCTCCTTCTTTGTCTTTAGCCATCCTTGTGATTAGCAAGTAGCACTTCATTGTTGTTGTGATTTACCTGTCCCCAATGACAAATGACATTGGTCATCTTTTCGTGTACTTACTGACCATTTGTGTATCTTTGGAAAAATGTCCATTTCTCCTTCCCATCCCCCAGTGGGATCCTTGGCCCATTTTTAATTTGGTCTGTCTTTAAAATAAATGGGGTTGTCTTTTTGTTGTTGAGTTGTAAGAGTTCTTTGTATATCCTGGATGCTAGACCCTTCTCGGATACACGATTTGCAGGCATTTTCTTCCGTTCTTTTCTTTGCACTCTCTTGGTGATGTCCTTTGGACACACACAAGTTTTTATATTTTGATGAAGTTCAAGTTATTTATTTTTTCTTCGGTTGCTCATGCCGACTTCCTGATCCCTGTATTTTCGTCTACGGATTTTATGTTTTTCTCTCTAAATTCAGTCTATTAATCCATTTTGATTTAATTTTCATAAGGTGAGAGGTCAGGGTCCAACTTGATTCTCTTGTATGTGGGTATCTAGTAGTTCCATTTATTGAAAGGATTCTCTATCCCCAATTGAGTGGCCTTTTCACACTTAAAAAAAATATGAATTGGTCACGTCGGGTTTATTTTTGGACCCCTTAGGTTTTTTTCCATTAGTCTGTCTGTCTATCCTTGTGTCCATTTATACTGTTAGGGTTACTGTAGCTTGTAGTAAGTTTTGAAATTGGAAAATGTGAATCTTCCAAATTTTTTCTTTTTCAACATCGCTTTGAATAGTCAGGGCCCCTTGTAGTTCCATATGAACTTAAACATCAACTTTTCTATTTCTGCAAAAAAAAAAAAAGAAAAAAGAAGAAGAAGAAATAGGCTATTGGAATTTTGATAGAGATTGCACAGAATCTGTAGATGGTTTTTCATAGTATTGTCATCTTGACAATATTAAGTTTTCCAATTCGTGAACACATGATGTCTTGCCATTTAGTTATATCTGTCCTAACTTATTTCAGCATTGGTATATAGTTTCAGGGTACAAGTGTTTTGCCTCCATTAAATTTATTCTTAGGTATTTTATTCTTTGGGCGCAGCTGCAAATGAAATTGTCTCTTTGATTTCCTTTTCAGATTGTCTCTTCCTGGTATATAGAAACACAGCTGCCTATATGTTATTTTTATTTAGCAAATATTTAACGTTAAAAAAAATCTCTTCTGGTTCTTTTAAAAATGAAGTAAGAACCCCAGTATCCCCCTATATATTCCTGTTTAGTTTGATGGACATCCTTCCATATATTTTCTGTACATATACATGCAAATAAACTTTGTTCCTTTGAGTAGACTCATAATATACTTTGCCTCCATTTGAACTTACATATAGATGATGAATATCTTTCTACATCACTACATCTAGATTTACATTTTTCCTTTCAAATGCCGCAGAGTATCCTGTTGTACAGATGTTCTGTACTTTAAGAGTGTTCTTGTAATTTTTTTTAATGTTTGTTCATTTTTGAGAGAGACATAGCACGAGCAGGGGAGGGGCAGAGAGAGAGAGAGGGAGATAGAGAATCTGAAGCAGGTTCCAGGCTCCGAGCTGTCAGCGCAGAGCCTGACGTGGGGCTCTAACCCACAAACCGTGAGATCATGACCTGAGCCAAAGTCAGACGTTTAACCTGCCGAGCCACCCAGGTACCCCAAGAAGGTTCTTTTAATGAACATTTGGTGCGATGTCAGTGTGACGTCAGCAGATGGTGTGATGTTTTCTATTATAAACAATCTAGCAATGAAGTCTTGTGCCTGTATCCATACATACTTATGTGAGTATGTCTTGAAGGTAGTTTCCCATAAGTAGAATTGCTGAAGCAAAAAATAGGCACATAGTATCTTTTGGTGGACAGGGAGAGATTTTGTTTTTATAGTGTTTATTATGGGCATAGATGCTACCTACTCTTATCTAAGAACATCACAGTGAGTAAATGCTTGGAGAAAAATGTAAAAATGAGGGTGCGTCTAACCGTTCTTTTTTCTAGCGCTACCTGGTAACCTATCATCTAAATAAAATGTAAATAATAAAATCCTTTTGGGTATGCGCTATGTAAACAAGGTGTTTTTAAATGCGTTGTTAGCCCAGCTTAATGTTGTTAGGGAAGAAAGCAACTGATAGCACATAGGTGCCTTCTGGGCTTTTCTCTCTCCTGCCTGCTGTACACCTCACCCCCCTCCTAATCTATCTTTCATTATCCACACCCCTCCCCCTAATTGCTGGTAATCACTCCAAAAGTTCTTTTGCTTGGTGACAGATACTGTGAACACCCAGTGTTCTCTTTTCTGGCACTGTCCAGGAAAGACCAGCTTGAGAATTTGCTCACATGTTCCGAAGGTAGAGACTTTGTTTTGTTCAAGTCTAACTGGAAAGTTTAGCTAAACCCCAGAAGGCAGACCACATCCATTTTGGGGTAGGGTCACCTGTTCTTCGGTGTCTCAGTCTCCCGTCTTACACCTTCCTGTGCTTTGCTGTGGTTGACTAAGAAAAGCAGAGGAAGATGCTTCTGTAAAAGCCCCAAAGAAAAAGAAGTCAAATAGGGGCACCTGGGTGGTCCAGTCGGTTCAGCATCTGACTTGGCTCAGGTTGTGATCTCGCGGTTTGAGGGTTCGAGCCCCACGTCGGGCTCTGTGCTGACAGCTCAGAGCCTGGAGCCTGCTTCGGGTTCTGTGTCTCCCTCTCTCTCTCTGCCCCTCCCCTACTCGTGCTCTGTCTGTCTGTCTCTCAAAAATAAAATAAACGTTAAAAATTTTTTTAGACAAAGGAAGTCAAATGGAAGTGAGGAATAAGAGTAACCTCAGTTGCTTTCCTTTTCCATCTGTTTTTCAAAAAGGTTTTATTTTGAAATAATTTTAGACTTGGAGAAAAGTTGCAAAGTGAGTACAGAGTTCACGTGTGCCCTTCAGCCAGCTTCTTTGAATGTATGACTAGAATGTATGATGACAATCAGGACTTCTAAGTTGTTACCCTACTTGTAGCTATGCTATAGGCTTTGTCAGCTTCCCACCCAGTTTTCTACTCCTATCCTGTTTCTTTTCTAGGATTCAGTCCAGGATCCACATTGGATTTAGTTGTTCTGCCTCCTTAGATTTCTACAGTTCGCCAGTCTTACCCTGTTTTTCATGATCTTGGTATTTTTGAACAGTACTGGTCATTATTATTATTATTTTAATGTTTATTTTGGAAGGAGAGAGGAACAGAGAGCAAGCAGGGGAGAGGCAGAGAGAGAGAGAGAGAGAGAGAGGGAAACACAGAATCCAAAGCAGGTTCCAGTCTCAAAGCTGTCAGCACAGAGCCCGACACAGGGCTCGAACTCACGAACCGTGACATCATGACCTGAGCCGAAGTCAGATGCTTGACTGACTGAGCCACCCAAGAGCCCCCGGTCAGTTATTTTGTTGAACGAAATTTCCTAAATTTGGGGGTTTGCTGATGTTTTCTAATATTTGCTTGTGAGGCTATGCATTTTGGGAAGAAGACCACACAAGTGATGATGCTTCCTTTCCAGTGAGTGGTTACTTGATGTCCCTTTTCCTTATTGGTGGTGATGATAATCTTGACCACTTGATTCAGGTGTCTCCTGGGTTTCTCCATTCTAAAGTTGCTCTTGTAATTGGTAAATTAGTCTTTTTGTAAGTAATAAATACCTTGGGGGTCAGCTCCTTTGAGACTGTGCAAAGGCCTTGCTTCTCCTCAAGCTTCCTGTCACTGACTTCAGCATCCGTCGTAGATCCTGAGTGGGACCTTAACTGACTCAGCCACCCAGGCACCCCTCTTTCATCTGTTTTAAAATGAGCTCTTCCCTCGTGAGCACGGTTGTGGTTGTGGCAGGCCTGAAACCTGATCTTGACTCTGCTGGGCAGTTAGTCATTTCGGTGTCAAATCATTTTGACCAGATCATTTAATGGTGGTTCATTAAAATCACTGCACATAGAGACCTGTAGACAAGTAGGGATTTTGCCTGTAAATGGAACAGGTTAACTTTTTTTGTGGAAAAACATTCTAACATTGAAAGGCCGGTGTTAGTGTCCTAACATTCCTAACATTCCTCAAATAATCTCTCAAGGATTTTGGACTCTCACTTTTAGCCCATGCCATATTTTAAGGTTAATATGAATAACTTTTGGTCCTTATGTTAATTATAGAGAGTAAATGCTACTTAATGTATTCTTATTAATGAGTGTTTTCCTCAATGTCTAAGTGCAGATTGATTATCCTATAATAAGTTATTTTTGCATACACATTATGTGGCACAAGACTTTTGATAAGTTAGTTATGTCCTTATAATGTTATTTATGAAATCTTATAGTCAGAAGCCATTGGTAAAATATCTTTATTACTCACGAGCTTTGAGGGCCTCTTTTCCTTGGAGAGCCGGTATACTTTCTTGGCTGCTTTTAATTCTTTCAAAATAGAGCTCGCCTAGATGAGATTCCAGAGTGACTTCTGTTTTCCTCTGTAATTTTTCATATTTCTGTGACCACATCCCAGCTCTTGTGGCCAGCAGTGTCTGTGAAAACAAAGCATGAAGTCAAAGCACATTCCACAGGTGATTGGTGGGATTATAATAGTTACAAAGTGTATTCATCTCCAGCGATAAGGATCTGCCTGAGCATTTTGCTCTAGTTCAAAGCTCACTCTTGGGTCTTACCACCTGTTTCTTGTATGTATGTTCCTCTTTCGAAATAGAGATGGAAGAAGAGTGGCTGTATATCAGAATTTAAGAAGGTCATTCTTTTTCAAGGGCTTTTGCCTTTCGACTTGGACCTTTTGTAAGAAATTTCCGTATTCTTCTCACCCCTGATACCCTTGAATTTGGGAGTGGGGTTAGGTGCGATTTGGTACAAACCCCAGCTGGCCAGTTAAAGCCCAGTGTGGTAATGTTTTGAAAATATGCCTGGCTGACTCTGATCTCTAAATGTGCAGATTATCTTTGCAGCAATAAGATATCTTGAAGAGCTTCAACTAGTTTTGATAACTAATCATTACATTCTTCAGCCAGAACATTTTGCTAAGAATAGCTCGTGTGCCTTGCATCCAGTTTGTTTGTTTGTTTGTTTATTAAAAATATTTTTTAACGTTTATTTTTGAGAGAGAGAGAGAGAGAGAGAGAGCGAGCGAGCGCACAAGCGGGGGAGGGGCAGAGAGAAGGAGACATAGAATTAGAAGCAGAGGCTCCAGGCTTCGAGCTGTCAGCACAGAGCCCGACATGGGGCTCGAACTCACAAACTGTGAGATCATGACCTGAGCAGAAGTCAGATGCTTAACAGACCGAGCCACCCAGGCGCCCTTGTTTTGCATCCAGTTGAAAGGTTAGGAGCGTAAGATTGTAACTGTAGCCCTAGTTGTGTGGAGAGACGCCACATTCACATGTGGTATTTCTTTACTCTTTATAGTTGCTGCATTAATCATCTTTACCTTTCCCTCATTCTAGAACAGGAATATTTTACCTACCATATTAATAATTTTTCTGTGCCCTACTATTAATTAAAATAAAAAGTGGACTAAACTTTCTCTTTTAAAAATTCCACCTTATTATGCTTAATTTTTCTTTCTTTTTTTTTTTTTTTTTTATTCATTAAGTCATGGTTGAGGTGAGCAGCATGTCACTGGCCCTTTGAATTTCGCAAAAAGCTTTCTCCTATAGGATCTTGACTTTCAGGTACCAATTCATAGATGCTCTAGTGCCTAGAGTAACAGAGCTAACATTCAAAGCACGAAACATGTTCTCTGGTTCTCTCTTCCCTGGAGACATGGGGAATATTAATAGTGATGTCAGTCATTCATAACCATTTATTGAACCAGCACTGTGTGCCAGGCAGTGTGGGGGATAGTTTTCAAATAGCATCTCATTTGCTCTTAATAGAAACCTCCCAATATTTCAGAAACAGAACCCAGTGCTTGAAACGTGAAATGACTCATCCAGGATTACATAGTGAGTAGACCCGAGAACGGCTTGGATTATTGTCTCAGGTCACTGCTCATCCCACACAGCATTCTGTGACTGTCCTCATGTCGCTAAAGAGGAGAATGCCTTCAGGGTTGCCATTCTTAATTTTTTTAATGTTTGTTTATTTCTGAGAGAGAGAGAGCGAGCACGAGCGAGCGAGCAGGGGAGGGGCAGAGAGAGAGGGAGACACAGAATCCGAAGCAGGCTCCAGGCTCTGAGCTGTCAGCACAGAGCCCGATGCGGGGCTTGAACCCACAAAGTATGAGATCATGACGTGATCCCAAGTCCGACGCTCATCAGACTGAGCTACCCACGTGCCCCTCAAAATCTCTTTAAATTTTGAAAAACATTTCAGATGATTTTGAAAAAAATGACTTTTAAGGTTAGTTTTTTGGGGGCTCAGCTATTGTCACACCTTTGGTTTCTGGAAATAAAATTCAAGATAGGAGGAGAGGAAATTGCTCCCAGATGGTGCCATCATGCCTTTTCTTGAAGCTGAATACAACTTCTCTCTTAGGCTTTCTTGCTTTACTGTGAGTAGAAGCTTGAGGCTTTGGGCTGGTGGAGTATATTTAACAGCAGAAAAGATAAGCACTTAAACACTAAACTTCACAGTGTATAGACCTTGGGGATGAGTCACTGGAAGCTGCCTTGACCTTTCGTGCCGGTGCTCCTACTTCACCCGCACCCGGCAACAGTGTGTGGAATTTGGATTCAGGAAGCCTGGAAGATAGTGCAAGTGGGATCTTAGCTGGAAGAAATAAAAAGCCCTAACTTGAACCTCCCTTGTATCTACCCTTCCTACATCTCTAAGATGTGAGCTTGTGATTATACTGGGCTCATGATGAGATCATCCTTGGAAGAAGGAAGTCCTGAGAAAGGAGGAGGGTGGATTTTCATCCAGCAGGTGATTAAAAACCTGCTTTACAAGTTCAGGAAAAGTTGGGGTCATAGGTGTTGGGCTTAAGATGCATTAGGGTTTTGCTGGGTAACGAATGGATGATTTGGGGCTTCAAGGAGCTATCCAGCTTCTGTAGTCTGAAAGTACCCTTCTTAGGCTAAAAAGAGACACGGTGGAAATTATTAACACAGCAATCACAGATAACTTGAGCACTAAAAGACACTATTTGGCTATTGGGTTTGAGTATAAAGTAACCATGTGGCTTTCGTGTGAGTGATGGCTTAGACGACGTGACAGAAAACTGTCAGCCTTCTCTATTTAACGTGCATGCCTCCGAAGTGGGTAACAGGGCCACTCACAACTGATGTTTTGTTACTCTGTTATTCTAACCACTGAAGAAAAGGCTGTGATGGTAAGAAGCAGTAAGGTCCTGGTCTCTTTTGTTGCTGATGGGAAGTTATTTTGTTACCACCTTGTCTCTTAAATCACACTTCAGGAAGTGACTAGAAATTGCGGGAGAAAGATGGTTATAATGATATATGCGCCATGTGCAGACTCTTAAAATTTTGGGGGGGGTGGGGATTGGCATAAGTAGAAAACACTGGAGTGAGCTTTCCTGAAGTCAGAGGCATTCTGACATGGGAGACCTCTTGTCACTAGTATTTCCTTCCTCCCCTCCCTCCCTCCCTCCCTCCCTCCCTCCCTCCCTTCCTTCCTTCCTTCTTTCCTTCCTTCCTTCTTTCATTCATTCATTCACTCACTCACAGTGTATTTATTTTGAGGGAGACAGAGACAGTGTGAGCAGGGGAGGGACAGAGAGAGGGGGAAAGGGAAGCCCAAGAAGCAGGCTCCACACTATTAGCACAGAACCCAATGTGGGGCTCAAACCCGCAAACCACGAGATCACGATCTGAGTCAAAACCAAGATCCGGACGCTCAGCCAACCGAGCCACCCAGGTGTCCCAGAATTTCCTTGTTTGAGCGCATTTGGGTGCCCTGACCCCGGTGCAGTGAGACATCCCCGTGTTGGTGGAAGGAGACTGGATTGTGCTCCTTTCCCCATGCAGGGACGGGGGGAGGGGGCCCAGAGAATGGGCACTTGTGGAATGACAGAGACCACTTTCCCTCCACACTCTTGTGGCTCTCCTCCCTGTTCTTTGACTTGTTGGCGCTCCTTGACTTGACCTCTCATTCCTTTTTACTAAATCCACTCCTTTTCACAAATCCAGGGTCACAGAGGTCAGCTTTGAGGGTAAGGCTTTCTGGATGGTTTGACTTGGTTTCAGAAAGGGTGTGTTTCACCGGGTACGAACAGCTAGCAAAGCTTCTCTAAGTCTGTTTTCAAGAATTGGGACTAAAACAACAATGTTACATTAGAGTGAAGAAGGTCCCCAGGCATTGGGAGTGGTATTTGATGATGTCTAACGTAGTAAGGCTCTTTTGGCGACATATTTAACGCGGGAGAATTTAAGATGTCATGTGATACTATGAATGTAGGCTAAAAATGCTACTTCTTGTCAAGTTTACTTATTTAACTTCAAATTACCTTGTAAAGGTGCATCCAGACATTTTTAGAATTGGAGGCATGGTTCATATTCTGTTTGTGTATTTTTTTTTTCTGTAAAGTATTGTACGATCTGAACATTTCCACAAACGGGCAGAAGTCATCTAGCGGTTGTCTTTATGAGGAACATAATACCCCATTGTGTTGATGCACCGTGGTTCTTGCGAAGCTGTCCCCTGATGTTGGGTGTTCAGTCTGTTTCTAGTTTTCTCTCTTATAAATATGAAGGGACGTATAGAAAGGGCCGTTCTTGGGGCGCCTGGGTGGCGCAGTCGGTTAAGCGTCCGACTTCAGCCAGGTCACAATCTCGTGGTCCGGGAGTTCGAGCCCCGCATCAGGCTCTGGGC